TCTCTCTCTCCCCTCTCTCTCTCTCCCCTCTCTCTCTCTCTCTCTTTCTCTCTCTCTCTCTCGGCGAAGAGTACGACGCGCAAGCTACTGTTTGTCTCGAACCTCTTCTTGCGATTTTTTCGCGCTGAGCGGGATAACGTTGTTGTCGTTGTTATTGTTGTTACCGTATTCCAGTCACGTGCTAGGTTTGCGTTTGCAACGCTGATCCACGTCCGACCGTGTATCCGGTACTGATGATTTCCTTGAAGACCGATATACTCGGACAGCCCGAGATCCCGTTCTCCTATTTTGCTCTTTCCCTCTCGGTGGAAATCGCGCCGGTAAAAGCAAGTGAGTAGCTTCATTACCATCATTAGGCAGTTCGCAAATTATACGATCACTCGTTATATGCAAAGTGGGCCATTTCTTCTGATCTGTGAACCCCTGGGAACGGCGTCTGCCCTGGTCCATAATATTGTGAGAGAGAGCTGCGATTGTTGCGCGCCGCGTGCTGCGTGTCCTCTCATATTTTTTTTCCCCTCTCTCTCTCTCTCTCTCTCTTGCTCTCCTCCACAGTAGGCCTTCTATTTTCCGCTCCCGCTTTTGTATCGAACGCAATTATCGCGCACGCGTTTCCACTCGTCGTTCTCCGATTTCGACCCCGCCGTTATTCGCGAAGACGGACGGATGAATCGCCGGCTTTGTGGATCGTACGTCCGCAGTTCGCGTGGAGTCACGATGATTCATCCACTCCGGAATGTGATCGTTACGGATTACCACAACACGATCGCCGACATTTTTTTCCACCTCATTGTGTTACAGTGCACGCGTTTCCGCGCGCTACAAGTGATATCCGGGAAAACGCGCGATACTTCTGATGCAGCCTGCATACAGGCTATCCGACAATACATATAAAATTCTCGCGTACGTGTAGATTAGGTGAAACAGAAAATTTCTCCGTACAAAATTGCATGCGGTTGTTTGCGAACGGTGGAGGTACTTTTTGTTCAGTTTGATCCAACTTACACGAGAGTTTTACGTGTTATATCGTCGGGCATCCTGTACGCTCCCGAGAGAGATTCGCGCGCTCTTACGGGATATTTACCTAGAACATGATAAATACGGTTTCAATCTCAGCCTTCGTGTCTCCTCTTCTGCCCCTCACTCCTCCTTATCCTCCGTTTTTCTTAGTCTTTTCCTCTCTCTCTCTCTCTCTCTCTCTTCCTTTCTCTTGCTCCTCGGGAACTCCCCGCGTGATTAAACGGCGTACGTCCAATGCAGGCTCGTGGCCCTGGGCTACGCCAACGCTCACCATGTATATGTACCCGGCTATATACCCTCCTTGTACCCGATGTATACCTGGTGCGCAATCAGAGAAATCGGGTCCCCCTCCTCCACCCTCGCTGCCGCCGGAGAGTAATGGCGCGTTTTAGGCGGCGCAATTAAGCCTCGCGAAGAGATGCTGACTTTTCCGCTAGCGCGCGCGCTGATGTCGTTATTTCTGCCACCCCGATTCGTAAATCATTTGCGGTAGCACAATAGCACCGCAGCCGTGGAACGTGTCACGTCTAAATTACACGCGTCGACTGCTCGTTACTCCGCCGTCGCCGCGCTCTCGAACTTCCGTGACTTGGAAAAGTCGCTCTCCCGCTGCAACCCCAACTTTATTTCCGACCAGGCAGCTGCCCCCCTTTGGGGCGGGCGTGAATCTTGGCTGGTTTGTCTGGAAACTCGACGGGAAATCGACCGGTCTTTCGAGTCTCGCTCATCTCGCGCATCGCTGATGCATCTCGCGAGGATCCGCGAAGATCGTCGTGGAAACGGCGTGTATTGCTCGTTAAAAGTGTGTCCCGCGTTCGGGGACACACCGAACGGCGAGCCCTAAATCACCCAGCGACTGCGAGCTAGAGCGCGCGACGCGGCTCTACGATAATATTCTGTTAAAATTATAGCCCCGGTTGAACCTTCCGTTTGGACCGATTTAAACCGTCATAAACGAGCCGCGAGGCGGGCCGTAAATTTCGCGGAATAATCGCGCCACTGACCCAACTACGGCGCGCGTTACGATTCGAGATGGCAATAAAAGCGTGACGAGCTCTAGCCGAGCTCTAGAGTGACAGCGCGACGCGGCGGTCGTTGTCTTTACGGTCCTCTTGGATCGCGACTGAAATTTCGCGGTGCGTCCGCAGGCTCGCCGCCTCTCACCGGATCGGGCATCGTCAAGATCATCGTGCTGGACGTGAACGATCACAGCCCGGAGTTCGCCAGGCAGCACTACAAGGCCACCATGCTGGAGAACATGCCCGCCGGTACGTGGGTCACCAAGCTGCACGCCACCGATAAGGACGAAGGACTCAATGCGAAGATCAGGTGGGTCCTGCGTGCAATATGCTCACACAACGAAAGAAAAAGAGTGTCTCAGAAGAGAACCGCCAAAAAAAGTGTTACTAACATTTTTGCCACTATTTGAGCGTATCATTGCAGAACAGAACATAAGATACTGTCAAACTTTTGTATAAAATATTTTTTATATACAGGGTGATCCACTTAAATCGGACACCTTAAATATTTCACTTATTTTTGATGATACGGAAAAATGATTCAGATGAAAGTGGAAGGATGTCGAGGGGGCCACATTTTGGTCACGTTGTTTTTTTTCTAGGTGGAGACGCTAAAAAGATATGAGGGTCACCTTCACTTTTTTAAATGGAATTATGATTTTTATTATGATGGAAATATGATTCCTTTATTTTGTATAAAGTGCTTAAAAAAATGTTAACATTTATATGGAAAATTTGCTTAAAAAAAATGTTAATATTTATATGAGGAAAAAGTTATTTCCATATAAGTGTTAACATTTTTTAAACATCCTGTATATTCGCTGGAAATTAAATATTCGAATTACCTCTGAGGTGTTGTTTAAAAATCAAAACTTGCAAATGAACGCACAAAAGATACTATTTTTTTGCAACATTTCTAAAGCCCATTAAAAATAGTGAAGAACACTTTCGATGATTTCCTTGCAGGAGAAAAGAAAGAAAGAATAGTCTCTAAAATAAGAAGTATCAATCGTGCGCTGAATGATGATCTTGTGAATCTGTCGAGCAGGTACAGTCTATACGGGGACAAGGTAGAGCACTTCAGTGTCGATCCCGACACGGGAGACGTATCCACCACGATGTCTTTGGACCGTGAACAGACCGCCGTGTATCATCTCACCCTGCTGGCGCAGGATTCGAGCCCGATGGAGCGTGCTACCGCCGTTAAACTGACGGTCTACGTGCAGGACGTGAACGACAACGCACCCCGCTTCTCCAGTTCTCAATATACGGCCTACGTTCCGAGTGGGATCAAACCCGGTGAGTGTGATCTAGTTTAAGTTGACTTTCAGTGAACTCCGATCAAGCTAATCAATGAATCAATGAATTCAACGATAATCGGAAAATTAATAATTTCTATCTCGACAAAATACACATAGCGGAGAGTGAGAGAAATAGCGATATGAAGTTGTCGATTAGACTAATGAGAGTTTGGTGAAAGTAACGATTAGGAGTGACGATTAGAGAGCGCTAAGTGAATTCGCTGGGGAGTAGTTCCGCTAATTGAGTTTCCGCTGACATCGAGTTTCTCTTTCTGCCATTCGTAGGTGACTTCGTGTTCGGCGCGAAAGCGGTCGACGACGACGACGGCGAGAACTCGCGGATCGTTTACCGGCTTCAGGGCAAAGACGCCGAGTGGTTCACCATCGATCTCGACAACGGCGTGGTACGCGCCACGCAGGAACTGGCCAGGAATGATCAGATTATTTATCAGCTGCAAATACAAGCGTCCGACTGCGGAGATGAACCCCAGCACGTCACCACCGACCTAGTGATACATCTGTCGGAGCGAGAATTGTTCCCCAGGTTTGAATCAAGTATCAGCACGAGGTTCACGCTACCCGAGGACGTGCCAGAAGGCACGCTGATCACCAAACTGAAAGCGACCATGCCGAAGAGCGGATCTGTCAGTAATCTGATTTACGGCATAGCTGGTGGAAACGTCGGAGATGCCTTGAAAATCTATTCTCACACCGGCGAGGTAATTGAGATCACCTTGGAGAGGTGATTTACTTAAAAAAGGATATCCTCTTCTGTGAAAAATATTTAATTAAATTTATTTGAAACATTTAAATTAACGTTCCAATTACAACATCATGTTAATATAATTGTTAATATTATTGTTAATATTGTGGACTTTTTGCTTAGGTCGTGGTGGCTTCTGGTTTCGATTACGAGACAGCTCCGTACTACGAAGCTTGGATAGAGGTGCGTGACTCTGATCTACCGGCGCTACGCAGTGTACTCCAACTGCTGGTCAACGTCACCGACGCGAATGATAACGCACCCGTCATGGAGGCGGCCATTTACAACGCAACTGTGCTGGAGAATGAGTACCCACCAGTGCCTGTCACTAAAGTATCAGCGAAGGATCGCGATTCCGGCTTGAACGGTCAGGTCACTTACCATCTAGTCAACAACTCTTTCGAATCCTTCATCATCGACAACAGCACCGGACAAATCGATACCAATGCCAAGTTGGATCGTGAAGAGGTAACAGCGATTGCTGATTAACTACATTTATATAATTAATCAGTTAATTTAAAGTATAATTCACTTGGAAGATCTGAGAATATCTCACATAACCATAATTTATAAATTTAATTAACAATTGCTTACATGAATTTCCTTTAGATCGCATTTTACGAGCTGATCGTGGAAGCTCGAGATCAAGGCCATCCTCAGCTGACCGGTACTGCGACGGTACTGGTGACCGTGTTGGACAAGAACGATAATCCGCCGCACTTCACGCGACTGTTCAGCGTCAACGTGACGGAGAATTCGGAGATCGGCACGTTCGTTATACGTATTACCAGCAGCGATCTGGACATCGGCCAAAACGCGAATGTCAGTTACAGCTTCACTCACAATCCAGGAGAAAAGTTTACCATCGATGCCCTCAGCGGTAACGTAACCGTGGCTGGGCACCTCGACAGAGAGGAGCAAGACGAGTATTTGCTGAAGGTAGGTTTTGCGACACAATTTTCATCACCAGATTATATCACATCTCAACAAAATTGAGACCGTCCACATTATCTCACTACAGATCGTAGCGGTGGACGGTGCGTGGCGAGCAAAGACCGCCCTGACGATCACTATCCAAGACCAGAACGACAACTCGCCCGAATTCGACGAGAACACCTATTACTTCCACTTCCCTGAACTTCAACCGGCAGTGACTCACGTTGGTCAAGTTACAGCGATAGATCGCGACAAGCAAGGACCGAACTCGGCCATATCCTACAGCTTATTGCAACCTTCTGACCTCTTCACCGTCGACCCAGCGACCGGGGACGTCTTCAGCAAGCGTACTCTGCGTTACAAACACACTCACCGACCGTCTTCGCCGGAGAACTTGTACTCGTTGACGGTGGTAGCGACCGACAACGGTAAACCACCGATGTCCTCGCGCTCAGTGGTCTACGTGAGCGTGGTGGACGCCAACAACAATGCACCTCGCTTCGAGCATAGATCCTACTTGTCGCCGGTGCCGGAGAATTACAGTGTGAGCAAACGTATCACCCAATTGATCGCCCGCGACGACGCCGACTTCGGCGTGAACGCCGAGATAGATTACACCCTAGTGAGCATGAATATCAGTGCGAATACCAGCGATCTGTTCTCCATCGAGGAGCGATCTGGGTGGGTATACGTGCACAAGAGTCTCCACGGCATCGCTATCAACACAGAGTTCCTGTTGACGGCCATCGCTACCGACCGAGGTGTGCCGCCGCAGAAAGACGAGGTCTCGTTAACGTTGGTGATCTCCGGCGAGAATCAACATGCACCTACCTTCGCGGCCGTCAGCTATCAGGTGAGGGTGCCGGAGAACGAGCCGATCAACACCACGATCTTGACGGTGAACGCCTCGGATAGCGACAATGGGCCGAACGGCATGATCCGCTACAAGATCTCAGCTGGAAATGAGGGGAACGAATTCCTCGTGCATTCCATCACAGGCGCGGTCACCCTACTAGAGCGCCTCGACTACGATATGGTGCAAGAGTATCGGTTGAACATCACCGCCACCGATCTGGGTTTCGAGCCGCGGCAGGCAGTTGCTACCTTAACCGTGCACATTTCAGACATCAACGACAACCCGCCGATCTTCAACGAGAGCGTCTACGATGCGTATTTACCGGAGAACTCGCCGCCAGACAGTTTCGTCTATAAGGTATTTTTCAATGAATTTAACTTATTAGGATGTGGATTTTAACTTATTAGGTCATCCGACAATTACGTCACGCGAAATTTGAGGAAAAATTAAGGAAATTTTAGGAAATAAACAGACAGAACTTTATTTAGAAATGCTTGTGAAATAATTATATCTTTCAACGGATTAAACTTGAATTCAATCCATTTTCCCTTTTTCGTTACTCTTCTACATCTTTAATAAATTTCTCCCTCGTATATTTTCAGGTGGTCGCTCAAGACATCGACTCGCCCAAGAACGCCGTGGTGCAATACAAGATCCTCGGCGGCAATGGCAAAGACCACTTCCGCATACACAAGGACACCGGCGAGATCACGTCGGACACTAGCTTCGACTATGAGGAGGCCAACGAGTACAGTCTCGACATCGTCGCAGCCAATCCCGACTCCAGTCCGCAGATGGTCGGCTTCACGACCGTTAGAGTGCACATCACCGGGGTGAACGAGTTCTACCCGAAGTTCATTCAGCCTGTCTTCCACATGGACGTGTCAGAAAGTGCGGAGGTGAGCACATCGGTCGGTCTAGTCCAAGCCACCGATCAGGATTCAGGCGAAGACGGTCGAGTGTACTACCTGTTCGTGGGTTCGTCCAACGACCGCGGCTTCACCATCGGCTCCGAGACCGGTATTATACGAGTCTCACGACGTCTCGATCGTGAGACGCAGAATCGCGTGGTGTTGACGGTAATGGCGAAAAACGGCGGCGGCATTCGCGGCAACGACACCGACGAGGCGCAAGTGATCGTCTCCATCCAAGACGGCAACGACCCGCCTGAATTCCTGCAAAGCTCCTACGAGGCCACTGTGTCAGAGGGAGCCGTCCACGGCACCCGGGTGCTCACCGTGCGCGCGGTCGATAAGGACATACGCCCGCAGAACAATCAGTTCTCGTACTCTATCATCAGCGGCAATCTTGGACAAGCTTTCAAGGTAGATCCGCAGACCGGCGATATCGAGACGGCGAAGCAGCTCGATCGCGAAACCGTGCCTACGTACGATTTGACGATTGGCGCGATAGACACCGGTTCGCCGCCTCAAACCGGTACCGCGATGGTGCATATCGATCTGTTGGATGTCAATGACAACGGACCGGTGTTCGACCCGTCGGAGATGATCGGCTATGTCAGCGAGAACGAGCCAGCCGGCACGAGCATCATGACCTTGAGCGCGACTGACCCTGATCTGCCACCTAATGGTGCTCCGTTCTCATACCGGTTGATCGGTGGAAGACAGAGCGACATGGTCACGTTAGACAAGCATTCCGGAATATTGAAAACCACCAAGAGCCTCGACAGGGAAACGATGCCGCAACTAGACCTCGTGGTTTGTATTTAAAAGAATAGTCGCGCTTAATCCCTTCACTATCAGTGACGCATATGCGTGAAAAAAGTCTACTTTTGCTTCATGTTGTGTTTTTATTTTATATCTTATGTGTTTTCCTCAAAAATTTTGATGTAAAATCTTCATACAGTTTTGAAAACTTTTTCTTTCAACACATTTTTGACACGAAATGCTCTTTTTTGCCTGACAGCAAAGAGGTTAAAAGAAAAGTATAGTAGTGATGAATAATTATACATCTCAGAAATATGTGACGTCTCTAGAATATATTTTGGACATTTATGCTGCATGAGAATATAATAAAATCAATATATTCATTAATTCAATTTCTCATGATGGTAGATCGAGGTTGAGGATTCGGGTATACCTCGAATGAAGAGCGAGCACACCATAACCGTGATTGTCACCGACCAGAATGACAGTCCGTCTACGCCGAGGTCAGTGCATGTGATGGTGTATTCTTTCAACGGGAAGACTCCTCTAGGAAAGATCGCCGACGTGCATCCGAACGATCCGGACACCACCGGCGTTTATAACTGCAGGATCATCTCGGGCTTGAGTACGCGCAGTCTCACGATTCCCACTGGCTGCGATCTGCACACCAACAAAATTACATCAGGAATCGGCTACTCGTTGAGCGTCTCCGGTAATGACGGACAACATTCCGATGTCGTCTCCAAAGTCACCGTCGAGTTCCTCATCTTCTCAAACGCCACGATCGAGAACAGCGTAACCATGAAGATCTCCAAATTGATCGCGAAAGATTTCCTCAGCCAGTATTACCGACCACTCTTAGACCTCCTGCATGAGAAGATCGACGTCGGCGACACGCTCACCATCTTCAGCATCGGCGAAAACGGGCCGGACCTGAACGTCCATGTGGCAGTGAAAGCCTCGCAAGGATATCGCACGAAGTTCGAAGTCACGGATCTGCTGACGCGCAATCGCGACCAAATCCAAATGTTGCTCGAGGGTAAATCTTTCACCGTCAGTTACTCCCCGTGCAAGCACACTCCGTGCGAGAACGGTGGCAGTTGCAGCGATCGACTGGCTATATACGACGACGCCAGGATCACCGACAGTCAAGCGTTGATCCTGACGTCACCCAGAATATTGCACGAAATGGCCTGCAAGTGTCGGGACGGCTTCACCGGCGACAGGTGTGAGAAGAGGCAGGATCCGTGTTCGCCGAATCCTTGTTCGCTGGTGAGTGGATTAAAAGACATAGATTACAAAGATAGAGAAAGATTAAAAGAACTGGAATAAAAATAAAACGCTGCACGAGGAAACGTAAAGTGCAAACTAATCAAACACTCTTGATAAATTGTTAAATTTTTTCTATTTTCTTTAATCTATATACCTTTCTTGAGATATTTTTCATATAAAGATTATATATATAATATAATATAATATAATATTTATAATATAATATAATATAATATAATATAATATAATATAATATTTTTTATAGGATATATTGTACATTTTTTATAGGATATATTGTACATTAGAGCATTCCAGAATTGATGGATTTCATTCTTGTTTTTACAGGGAGGACAATGTCGACGTTTGGGATATGACTTCCAATGTATCTGCCCCATCGATCGCGACGGCAAGCTGTGCGAGCTCGAGAGAGGCGACGTGTGTGCCAGCAATCCGTGTCGAAACGGCGGCTCATGCAGAAAGAGTCCAGACAGCTTCAGCTTCTTCTGCCTCTGTCGAGCGGGCTACAGAGGCAACCACTGTGAGGCGGTCACCGACTCCTGTCGCCCGAATCCCTGCTTGTACGGTGGCTTGTGCGTGGGAGAGAAACCCGGCTATCGATGCAGCTGTCCGGAGGGTCGCTACGGACGGCACTGCGAGCGATCGACCTTCGGCTTTGACGAGCTGTCGTACATGGCATTCCCAACACTGGACTCCAACACGAACGACATCACTATCGTGTTCGCTACTACGAAGCCGAACGCGCTGCTACTGTACAATTACGCACCGCAGAACGGCGGTCGCTCAGACTTCGTCGTACTCGAGCTGATGAACGGCAGAGTAGTGTTCTCCTACGGCGGTGCCAGGAGCGCGATCACCTCCGTCACCATCAAGGCCGGGAAGCCGGTGTCGGATGGCAAGTGGCGCAAGGTGACGGCCACTAGAAACGGCAGGGTGGTCTCGCTTAGTGTGTCCGTCTGCAAGGAACACGGCGACCTCTGCGACGATTGCAGTCCCAGCGATGGTACTTGCTACGTGAACGACGTGGGCCCGACCGGGTTAGTGTCGCATTTTTATACTTTTATTAATTTTATATTAAATTTTATATTAAATTTTATATTAAATTTTATATTAAATTTTACTTTTCAATTTTCTTTATAAATCTCCAACTTTACCTTGTAAATTTAATTTTACTTTAGAAAAGCTTTAATTTAATAATTAAACCTTGCTAAACCTTGCTAAACCTTGCTTGTAATTTTTGTATACATTTGTTAATGTACGAACGTCGCAGAGCAAGAATTATCGCGTTTTATGCTTAACGCTTTACAGGAGTTTGAACTTCAACAATAATCCTCTGCTGCTGGGTGGCTTGGAAAATGCCGACCCCGTGTTAGAACGTCCGGGTCAGGTGCATTCCGACGACTTTGTCGGTTGCATTCACTCGGTGTCGATAAACGGCAGATCCCTAAATCTGACGAATCCAATCGCGTCCCGCGGCGTAAAGTCCACATGCATCAGATCGCAGAAGAATCCTTGTACGAAAGACGAGGAGAAAGCGGTGTCCGTATGTAGCGCGGGTTCTCAATGTTACGACAAGTGGCACCAAGTGATGTGCCAATGCGGATCCTTGACGGCGCCCAACTGCCAAGGCGCCTTAGAGCCCGTTACATTAAGCGAGGGTGGATTTGTGGAGTTCAAGGTAAAATCGGACAATTGTATTTGAGTCTGATCAATATATTAATAAATTAACGACTCAAAATATTAACGACTGTACTGTGCATATTGATAATGCTCAATGTAATCGCAATGTAATCGCAGGTGTCGGAGAAACATAGAAGAATGCAGTTGTTGGAGTACCTCTACGGTGGCTCCACTATATGGCACGAGAATCGCGTGAAACGCGATGTCGCCGGAGACACCAGCTTCATAGCAAACCCCTCGCCGTTGAAGACGATCGGTCTGATGTTCAGAACTGTGAAACCCGATGGAATTCTCATATACGCCGCTACCAATAAACATTTTACATCTATAGAGGTGAGACATTCTTTTAAAGTTTCATCTCCCTTTATTCTTTATGGAATATTCAAATTTTAATAACAGCTGATTACTTTTGTTAGTGATGTCGATCTCGATATCTTATCACAACCATAAAGTAAACACGAGTCTCAACTTTTGTCTTTATGAAACATTTTCTTTATAAAATATTTAATTAATACGGTCACACCTCGTTTCAGCTTCGTAACGGACAGCTGATCTACATGTCGTTGCTTGGTTCACCGGTAAATATGTCGGTTAACGTCGAGGGTGGCCTTGCCGATGGGCACTGGCACAACCTGACGCTCTATGCTTACGCACGAGGACTAAGACTGCTAGTCGACAGTGCCCTAACGGGCGACGAGCTCGACTTGGCGGGTGTTCACGATTTCTTGGACCCTTACTTATCCGTCCTATCGATCGGCGGGGTCAGCCAAGACCTTTATTACGCTCACAGCGCTGGCGCGAGGAGCTTCGAAGGATGCTTGGCGAACTTCAGCATCAACAATGAAGTGCAGCCGTTCAACGGGTCTGGTTCCATCTTCAAGGACGTAATCTATCATGGCAAAGTGAGCACCGGCTGCAGAGGGCCGATTGGCATCAGCGCGGCTGTCGACGCGGATCCGCTCAGCATCGGCATCACCTTGGTGATCGTCTTTTTCGTCATACTGCTGATCGCAATCCTCGTGAGCTTCATAGTCTTCCGACTGCGGCGACAGAACAAAGAGAAATCGGCACCTTCAGTCGTCAATAAAAACACCAACGCTATCATCACCGGCAACCCGCTGGTCGGCGCCGGTAACGATAATCTCATGTCCCGCCATGAGAACACTTACATCTCCGACACGTCGGATTTACGCGGCGTGGGTCACATGGGGCCCGAGCTCATCTCTAAGAAGTACAAGGAACGCGAGATCAACTCCACCGCCGAGCATCGGCCTCAACGACCGGACATCATCGAGCGGGAGGTGACCAAGTCGCCGCCTATTCGCGACGAGCACCCACCGCTACCGCCACCTGCTCAAACCTCTCTTCACTCTCACGAACACAATCCAGAACCTGATATACCGGAACACTATGACCTGGAGAACGCCAGTTCCATCGCGCCCAGCGATATCGACATTGTGTACCACTACAAGGGTTACCGCGACGGAATGAGGAAGTACAAGGCCACTCCGCCTCCTATAGGTAAGGAGAATCGCGATCTTTTGTAACTTCAGCAGTAAAATTTATAGTATACTTCAAAGCTCACACGCAAAATAATTTCTCTCTTTTAAATTCTAGAATCCTTAAATTAAAAAATTAAAAATTTTGGATCATTAAATTTTTTAATTTTTATATAAAGTTAAGTGTTTCTTGTCAATTGAATAAAATTTGTCAAAGATCCAAAGAAAAATTTTTTTATAAATCAGTTATAAGTCACGATTGAGTTCGTCTTCAGATGTCATATAAATGATTTTAGCTGTGTATCATCTTAAGATGAATTTAAAGTAATCTTAGGTATAAGATCAGACTATATAAATACCATCTATAACGCAAACGACTCAAGAGTAAATGTTGTCCGTGCAGGTAACTACAGTAATCACCACAAACACACAGGACAACAGCATCGTCACACTGGTCCCTTCCCACCGCGGACGATGCCACCTCCCAACGTGAACCAACCGCCTGGGTCAGCGCCCAAGTTGTTGCAGAGTACCCCTTTGGCGAGACTGTCGCCGAGCAGTGAGCTGTCCGCGCAACAACCGCGGATTCTCACGCTTCACGACATCAGCGGCAAGCCGCTACAGAGCGCCCTACTGGCCACCACGTCGTCGTCGGGCGGTGTTGGCAAGGATGCGCTCAATTCCAACAGCGAGAGAAGCCTGAACTCGCCCATCATGAGCCAACTATCGGGCTCGACTGCCAGCAGGAAAGCACCGCAGTCCAACAACGAGAACTCCGTGAATAATGTATCGTCAGGGCCGATGGGTCTCACTGCGGAAGAGATCGAGCGGCTGAATTCCCGGCCGAGAACGTCCAGTCTGGTCTCCACGTTGGACGCAGTAAGCTCCTCCAGCGAAGCGAGAGGACCGCCCGCTCACGGGCCTCTTCATCATCATCGACGCCACACGCCGCCGGTGGAGAGGCTCGAGCGACGCAACTCGTCGACCACCGACGAGAGCGGCAACGACAGTTTCACTTGCTCGGAAATCGAGTACGACAATGGCTCGTTGGTTGGCGACAAGCGATCCGACAACCTCTTCGCCAAGCAAGACGACGAGGAGGTGAGCCAACGTAACAACGAGTCGGCACAGTCGACGAAGCCGCCGTTGCCGCCGAACGTGAACTACGACGGCTTCGACAGCTCGTTCCGTGGCTCCCTCAGCACCCTCGTCGCCTCGGACGACGACCTGTCGACCCACATGGGCGCGCTCTACAGCAGCAGGCACGCCACCAACGGCTCGCCAGCCCTCACCGAGGACTACCTCAGCTGGGACTACGTGCTCAACTGGGGACCCAACTTCGAGAGCCTCGTCGGTGTCTTTGTCGACATCGCCGAGCTCCCGGACAGCGCCAGTCGAGTGCCCAGCACGTTGCGATTGCCGGCGAACATTCCCAAGCCATCCGAGGAGTACGTCTGAGAGGATCACAGAGAGACGATGGAGACGGTACTTGGAACGGCTACTCGCCAGGACAATTCAGTGGACTGATATTTAGTTTAGTGATGATCGCGGAGCTGTCTCGTCGGGAAAGCTACTCGTGCCGAGAAGTCCCGCGGGATCCGCGATTTAGCAATGTTGAGTCGCCACGGTAATTCTCTTAGTTGATTGACTTAGTCGACGAACGTGTTTCTAGTTCGGACTCTGCAATTGTCGCCGGTCGATAGTATTAATAGCGAGCAGTTAGTCGCGACGTCCGATATCCGGTTCGGAGGAACCTAAAGGAGAAGCTGCCTCGAGAAGTCGAGGCCTCGAGTCCTCCATAAGAAGAAGAAGAAATGGTTGCATCATAACCACAACAAGATGCCGGCCGCATATCGAACGTGTGATCATCTTGCCATAAAAAGTGTAAAGAGGGGAATTCTCTTCCCCGCCACCCTGCAATGAACAGACTTGTTCGGCACACACACTCTGGGGACACTCTGTTATTTCGTATTGCGTATCTAATTATCCTGCGAATTTGTAAATATCGATTAACGCGTGTCAAAGAATCAAAAACGCGACTCCCAGTCGTCGAAGTGCGCGACACGTCCACCTTCTATTGTATGATCGATCGAACTGTAAGCAAAGAGAGAAAGAAAGAGAGAAAGAGAGAATTCTCGCGCAATCTGGAATGTTAAACCAATAAACACCAACTAACACTAACATTATATTGATATTATAATTTCCCATAGAACGATGTAACTGTTATACAAATATGTTATATTGCGCTTACATTATTGAGTGCGAAGTTATAACATTGATGTGATGTCACTGTTGGTGTTTACTGGGTAACACTGCGTAACGTTCCGCGCACTTGGAGCGATCGTATGCGAAAATCTCCCAGTTGAATGTATATTCGCACAGAATATACTCCAATTGCGCCGAATGTCATCGTAGTTGCAGCGAGACGGAGAGACGTGCGACTGAGTATTCAAGGCAGTTCAATTAACTATTAAATAGTAACTTCTGTATATATCCTAAGGAAAATCCGTGCCAGATACACGCTGGATACAGTCGCACACGTCGCGTTAATTATCGATTCGACGGTCGGTAAATGTGAAAAGCAGACGCGGTACCCAGTAAAAAATCAGTTAACAGTAACATATATATGTATATCTCACACCAATATTAAAATTTCCCATTCAACGATGTAATTGTTACATAGAACACACGTTATATTGTACTTGCATTGTTGAGTGGAGAATTACAACATTGATGTAATCACCCAGCAAACACCAAGTAACAGTTAGTAACTGCGCATAACTGTTAGTTATAATTTCCTACTCAATAATGTTATGTAACTGTTGTTGAGTAGGAAATTATAATAGTTATATAATTGTTACTTGGTGTTTACTGGGGATACATGACTGTTGGTCGATATTTAGCTGGAGTAGCCGCGATCGGGCGTTGTGAATTCGTATGCTCAATTCGTCCGTATATCGTTACAGGCAATAAAAAAAAGGTAAAAAAAGAAAGAAATAAACACGAGACGCGCCCTGCGGTGTTCCTTGAGAGAAGAAGCCGCCGCGAGATTCGCGCAAAGAGACCGCCAGACTGATCCTTTTCTTTCCTCCAGCGCGCTTCGCGATCGCGAAGCGGCCTCCGACGAATCGCCCTTTCTATATATCTTGTTGTAAATTACGAGACTCGCCGTCAGTGCCCGTCTCATTCCTGTAAATAGTACATTGTAAACGCGTGAATTGTACAAAAGTGCGAATGCGTGTGCGTGTGCGTGTGTGCCTGTGTGCGTGCTACTCTATCATCACGCGTCGATCGTACTCGTAATAGACGACAGATTTGTAAAAGCTGCTGCGTGACTTCATTCATCCTTCTTCACGCATCCTTGCCCGCACTCTAATCCAAAGAAGCTCTACAAACGTGCTTTTCGTGGATCTTTATGCTAGAAATGGAACGCACACCGGGAGACAAGCTTTTGACATATCAAGTTATTTTCCAGGTAATTGCTTGTTACACGTGGCGCTCCCTAAATGGCACCAAAGTCAACGTTATCGTCATTAAAATGTTGCTATATTTCAGTAAATTAAATTCTTCTTTGCATTCGAATACAATGTCATAATAACTTTCTCTATCGGAGAGCAGCACGTTAATGCTATTAAAACGTTAGCTTAAAATGGTGATGTAGTTATATTTCAATAAATATATTGGAATATTATTAATTTAATTCCAAGGGAGAACTTTGAATTGACCAAAGAAACCTTGTATTAATATTCGAGCTTGAAGTTTGTTAAAAGTAACATTTTAAGGCCGTGATAACATCGCTATCATCTTCAGCAACATAATTAAGAATATCTTAAGTTTAATGGTGATGTAATATTTTTATGCTGTGTGGAGATCCACGTGTAACACACGACAGACTTATTTTCCATCCTTTGATAGATAATTTCACTCATCAGCAATATCGATTTAGGTAAAATTAAGTGAAAGATGCTTTTTGTAGAGTAACGATACCATTAGCGCAAGTCAAGTGCGAGAAGAACTCGCCCTCCGGAGAGTTTCGCTCAAAAAAAACGAAAAATTCACTGTCAGTTGTATATCGATGAATCGCGCCGGCGAAGGGATCTTCGCTGCGATCTTCATCTCTTGCATTTTGCCTTGACAGTTTTGTCAAAACGATCAAGGTCGATCTCGTGTCGCGTGCGTGCGAGACGTCGAGTCAATTAATCGTCAATTAAGAGCGCGATCAATAATTAAAAGTAATTCATTATTATTCCGCACTTCGGATCTCTGGAATTCTTGAATGAAGTGTCGCGTGTAGCGCGAAAGTTAACCGGCCTTTCTGTGTCTCGGTTCGTCAGACCACTGGACTTCGCGATCGATATCGCCCGGTTATAATGTGCAGATAATGATATCTCCACTTTCGTCATACGACGACGACCTCCTGAACAGCGCCTACGCGAACATCAGTCTGATTGCCGACGAGGTCTGGACCTACGACCGCGAGGATTCCTTCCACAAGCTGAATCGTTCCCTCTGGATCAAGGTGAGGCCAGTCTGTCCTCGAGTCCGCCCTTTTCGAATATCTTCGAGTTGACTGCAAACGAAAAAAGCCAATAAGAGTCTCATGATAATTGATTTGTTTTCACCTTCGAGTTAGACGTTCACAAGCCGCATCATCTCCGAACACCTCTCGTGTGATATCTTTTGCAAGGGAACGGATGATTGTTATTATTATCATTATTATCATTATTTCAAGCATTTACTTTCGGATTCTGCGAAACAAATCGGCGCGTTGAAGGTACAAAAGTGTGAAAATTATTAGAATACAATTTTTATTTCTTTATTAATTTTCTCAAATTGTTCTTTTCAGTAAAGGTCTAATTTTAGAAAATATAATTTGTTAGCAATATTCTCCTAGGTTTAAAATGATTACAAGTTTGTATCATATATTATACGACTAAATTATATAAATAATGACGGATTATTTCACAGAAATACAACTTTATCACAAAAATAAATTTTCTAATATTTTTCTCTCAGTGTATAAGTAACTCGCTTCCCTGTGTAAAATATTTACTTTTACATACAAAATATATCTTACAACAGAATCTAATATAATATGAGATATATCCCTTATTATTTATAGAATTTAGTAATACGTAATACCAATTTGTGATAATTTTAAACCTAGGAGGAATACAAATTGAGGAGGATAACAAATTGTAATATTTTCAGAAATTAGACATTTACTGAAAAAGAACAATTAGAGAAAATGTATAAAGAAGTCAAAGTTATTTTAACAATTTTCGCACCACTGTAAACAAAAATACACCGGGCTCGGATGTGTGCGTCTCGTTTGCGGAAGACGCGTATAACGAGAATGTTATTAAATTATTAAACACGACGGGGATGGGGGCAAAAGGAGAGATATGTATAACCGCATATATTATACGTATGTGCAGACAGAGACGGCGTGCTTTTTTCGAGAGGGGAAAGAAAGAGAGGAGGAGGCCGATTTATTCCGGCGTAACGATAACTTATTATTAACGTCAGAGTTGCGAAGTAACCGCGAAGTACGAGGGAAATGGTGATTACCGTCCGAGACTCGTCCGAGATGTCATCTCTGAATCGCGTTTGGCGAAGTACGGTAATTACGAGTACGACGAGCGGCGCGAGAGAATGTACAGGCCGGACGACTGTAAATCGTCGGGCGGGCTACGGCACTTCCGTCCTGCGGAGGCTACGGAACCATGGATGCTCCCTGAAGTTCAAGAACACTTCGCCCGGTTAATCTCGCCGAGCTGCACGCGAGCGCATCGGGAACCGTTAGTCCGCCTCGGCACTTTCGTGTCGTTTCTTACATTTCCAAAGTCACCTGCGAGAGAGAAAAAATCCGCCGGGGACGAGCGCGTACGCCTCGGGCTCGGCTCGCAGGCCGTCGAAATCCGTTTGAAATCGATCATCGAGAGAAATGTCGAGTCGATGTCGCGGATTCTCTATGATTCCGTGAAAGAGGAGAAATGTCCGCGCGACAGTTCGTTCTACAATCGCTCGAGTACCTCTCAGTCGACATAGCTGAGAAAAAGCGCGTAACTCTAGGACTTTTTGCTCGCATGTGTCATTTTGTGGATACATCTTTTTATTTCAATGTATTTCGCAAGAATTTTCAGCGTGTATTTTCTTGCTTGTCGTCAATGGAGAGTTCTGTGGCGAGAAGCCCGGAACCTTAATATGTACGTTTCATTTGCAAAGCTCAGCACCACTGACGCTGAAGAGCGACACCGCGGGAAGAGAGGACGAGGTCACTGGTTCAGGCTCCCAGTCGTCGATCGATTGGAGCGAGAGGTCGAGGAAACTACGTCAAAAGATCAAGAGTTCGAAGGAGAGCGGGAGAGTCGGATCGCAGCACGAGTCGCTCCCGACTAAGAAATTCGACGAAGGCGGTACGCAATATTGCCAGAGGCGTCCGTCGGCGATCTATAAATAAAATAACGGCGAATATAAATTATGAGATTATAAAATTAAAAATGAATAGGGTGTACCACACAATTATTGGTATTAGTCATTAGATTAGCGGCATCAATTCACAAGTTGTGAAGATTTCTTTTGAAATCATAGAGTGCCTGCAAGAAGCTTAACTGTATTGATGGCCGCATGAAAAACCAGGTTTTTCTAAAGTGCCAATGACTAAGCGGATGTCAATAATTATATGGTTTACCTTAAAATAATATATATATATATCGACAATGAGAGCAACGAAAACACGCTGGAAAATGGTCGAGGGATCTTTTGATTCGCCGTTTAGACTCGGCTCTGTAAGAGAATCTCCTCTAACTCCTTTTATCTCTCACCGTGTGCATCTCATCGTCGCAGAACCGCGCGAGAAATCCACCAGGACATTCGCCCATCGCCGATATATTGTCGAGACTGCTGCGGAGATGCAGCTGCGCTCGCGCATCGAGTGCGACGCGGTTCGCGATATTTGGAATCCCGAGAGGTTCCAACGGCGTCAGCAATGTCAGCAACAGACTCAGCAATCGCGAGTGGTCCGGCAAAGCGCACCAAATGTGCCGCGACTCGCCACCACTACTCAACACCATCAGCAGCAAGTTTACTACACCTTGCAGTATCAGCCTCTGATCCTGAAGACGGAATATCAAAGTCGACCGTTGCAACCACCGGCAGCGGTGCTGAGCGCCGAAGTCCCGGAATTCTTCCCGAAATCGAGTCCGCAGCCGAGCGGCGATCAAGAATGCAGCAAGGCACCTTGCCAGATGCGTTATTTTCCGTCGTTGAACGACAGGAATTATCAGAGCGAGTTGTTCCCTTACAACCAACCACAGCAGGAGACCGCGGCCGTATTTCCAGTGAGCAGGATTCTCAATGTAGAGAGAAGTTTTAGAATCTTGCGTTTCGTAATTATTTTAGAATATATAATCATTATTTTACCATTTACAATCATATCGCCACCTTCAATCGTTCTCGGCTGACTGATTAAAAGCTTTGACGTTTGTTGCTTCCCACCAAATATGATGACGTATTGTTATTATTAAAGCTATTATTATTAATGATAAATACAAATTATATATTAATAAGCATCAGTAATATCAATCATGTTTGCTGAGTTTATTGTTTAGTGCTCATTAAGAATCAGTTTCCTAACGAACCTCTTGTGATTTTGTAGAATTCCAGGGTGTCCATGTTGTCAACAGCGGAGGCAAGCGTCTTCCGGTCGCCTCAGGAGTGGATCCAGAGGATCGTACCGCCGATGCAGATGCAGGTCGCGTCGTCCGCGTTGCCGTCGCCGATCTGCACGTCGCTACAGCCGATCCACGACGTCGCGATCGCCCATCGTCCCTTTCAGGTTTTGCCTCTTCTTCGATGAAAATCTCACTGGACGAATCGCAGATGATCCTCTCGACTGCTCCGACGTTCATACATTATAATACGGCGTCGTGACTTGCAGATGTACGAAAGATTTCTGCCTTGCATCCAGCATTATCCGAGTGCGACGGCGATACCGGTGTACCAACGGCCGAGCGAGCTTTACCAAGAGTCGACGTCGAAGCGGAAGAGCCACGGGGTCGATTTCAACAATCTCATCCTGCTGACGAAGAGTAGTTCAAAGTCGCGACGTGGTCACGCGAAGCAACAACTTCCCCCATTGGAAACCACGCAGAAAGACCTGAGATTCGGCCAGAACACGGTGCAATGGTTGAACAAGGATTGCGCGAGGAGGACGAAGGGCGTCGTGACTGTGAACGCGTTAGTGTCTGAATTGCGCAGCTTCGAGGAGAAGTACGAGCAAGGTAGAGGCAGCAGCAGCAGCTGGGCGATCACCACCGAATCACCGCCTCGGCACAGAACAGGTTCCGAGGGCACGAAGTCGAAGGACGGGAAGGAAGCGTCACGATGCAAACTCGTGGACGCCGAAGAGCGAGATAGGAGGAAGGAACGACCGCTCTACAGAGACGTCCTGGCAAACGCCACCAGCGGCCAGCACGGAATGATCCTGGACAATGTCTTCGAGAGGAGGTGCGCGAGAAGCTAGGGAGAGATGAGATAAAGATGCATCATCATTATTTTTTATATACAGAGAATGTATTTGACAATTCATGACGCACCTGTTTTGTACATGTGGGACTCGTCAAACTGAACAAAAAATTCATCATTTTGCAAATAACCTCGAAGATTTTTAGTCATTAAGAAAATTGGTGCATGATTATGCATGATAATGAACAAATCTTTTGTAATCAATAATGTACAATCTATATCATCTGCAAAATAATAGAGAATTTTTTTGTTTTTTCAGTATTTTTCATGAATTATTAGATATCATGTATGTATGAGATGAATTTTAAGAGTCTTATGATCTTCAGGTACGACGAGCTCGAGCAGCAGGCGATGGAACAGTATAGGAACTCGGAGGAATCGTTGGCGCTGAAATATCAGGTGAAAATATTATTCTATATGTGTAAAATGTTGTTTATTTGCATTATAAATTTATTACTTCTTATTATAATATTTATAGAATATTATGTTAGAAAATTATTATACGTGTAAAATATTCTCGGAATTTAATAAAAATAAAAAAATAAATAAGTCAGGAAATACCGATAGACATATGCGCTATCAAATTGCAGGAACTGGAGCGTCAAGCCATGGAGCAGTACAGAAACAGCAACGACAAGCAGGGCGATTCGCGTTCTCATGAGGATAAGGATTGCCTCGACGGACGAAGGTGTTCAGGATATGGACAGTGCAGTCCTTCTGGGGGAAGTCGAGAGAAGAAAGGTAAGTGTTTGGCGATAAAGAAAAGAAAATTCGACTGATTCATTTTCCAAAAAAATTAAAAATTAGTCTACTTAAAATAATGGATACAAAATGATAAGATTACATTATGTTCAGTCTTGAATTAGAATTTCAATCTAAATCAATCATCACTTTATAGATTTACATTGATCTAGATTGAAATTTAGGCTAAACCTTGTGTGATATTATTATTTTGTAACCATCATTTTAAACAGAGTAAATTTCGTACTATAATTTCCGCGAATTGTGTCTATCGTTCTATCGTTCGATGGAGGTGATGTTTCTTTCCGTAAATCTCTTCATTCATTTGGTATAAAATAGGATCCTCGTTTGTCGTCAGGTTCTTGTCTTCCGCAACCGCAAATCACTCTGCTGAGGCCAAAGGGGAAATCCCTGCCGAATGTCTTCCAGGGCTCATCGTGCAACAACAGCAACCAGCAGGCCGCCATCGCCTCGAGGAGTTTATCCACGTTGACCGAAGGATCGTCCAAGGAATCGAAAAACATATCTAAGGGTGCATCAGGAGATAAGATCGACACGAGTAATTAAACGAATGACAATCTTTAACACAATTTGTGTATGTAAAGTTACACAACGATCGTGTAATACTATCAGGCAAACGTGTAACCTGTAGTTCTTCTTGTTCTTCTGTTTTCGACTACGGATGAAACTGATTCCTTCTCGAAGTTGCAGTACGGACATCATCGAAGCGGCGTCTGATACTGGTGTCACCCTTCAAGCACAAATCAGAAGCCCAGCTGTTGAAGACGAGAGAGCTACGAGAGATCTGCTCGCTCTCACAAGCGAGGGAAAACGTCCTCGACTATTGCCGGTCTCCCGAAGTCGCTCGGAACGGCAACGGCGACGAGAATATAACAATCATAGAGTCGCCCAGCACGGAAGGTACAATGAGCAGATGTCGACAACTTTGAATTTACCAAATTTACACCAAGACAATCTCTTCTTAGTTTGGCTGTCCGGATTCTGGACCACTTGAAAAAAAGGTGCGATCCGGCGTGTGTATCCTCGCAAGAAAACGTGGAAAACGTTTCACGCCACAGGCGCGTTACTCATGGAAGTACGCGGAAAATAAGACGGCTAATTTAAGACTTGTGACACGCGTGTATTAATTACACAAAATCGAGACAGACTGTTTACGTAAGTTGTTGAGCGCTAAGCTTCGCTTGTAAATATATAGTAACCAATAGATTTATTCTGAAACTTTCATCGACAGTGTCGCAGCTTTTCTACCATATAATGTACCTGTAATTTTTTTAGCGCATAATACATAATAGCTGTTCTGTGACGTTTAACGATAACGACATTGTCGTTTAAAGTTACAGAATAAGCGCACTTAGCAACGACAACGACACTGTCGTCACTGTCGTTACAAGTTACAAGTTACAGAATAGGCTTACAAATGTTTATAATTATTTCGACATGAAGTACGATAAGCGTGTTTATTCGTTCGTATATATAAGCGCTATACACGCTACGAGGGATACATTTTGATATCATAAAATACGATACTATGTCTTCTATAAAAAGAAGATAGGTAACAAATCTAAACTGGCTAAACGCTGTCCGACATGTCCAAGCGCGATATGTACTTACGATTCTCTCTGTGAGAATGTAAATAGGATTAGGCGGATTCGCATGGAGATACACGCGAGAGAATTGTTCCTGTCAGTCTTACCTCGGGTAGCGCAATAAAAAATAAAGTATTACAAAATAAAAATATAAAAAGAAGTCTTTACAAAAGTCATGTTGTAGAAAATACTTCGCTTCTTCGCACGAATATGTTCGTACATTAATTATTGTAATGCCTCTGGCTTTCACGCACGCATGCACACACACATACGCAAATATTTCTTACACAATATAAAAAGGATTTAGTCAGACGTATCGCTCCAATATATGTGTGAATAAGAGTGCGTTTAGGAGAAGAAATGATTTCCGCAATGGAGCGAACTTACCAGTTATCGAGAAACTCAAACCCGGTCTTTGGTATACTTCTCTCCTCCTCTTCCTGATTCAATTGGGTCGACTGGAAGCTGCTGTAGGAGCTCGGTGTCTCCAGAAGAGCGGTCGACTCATTTATGTCGCTCGACTTCGTTCGCGACATCACCACTAAAGTGTTTGACTGACTCTTGTCGGTGTCGGAGTCTCTCTCCCTCACCAGACTCTCCATGTCGTCCTCGATATTATTTTGAAGCTTCAACAAGGAAGTCTTGTTGATCAGCTTAGCAAATATACTGTCGGAGTGTTCGGTATCGATTCCATTGGTCAACAAGTCACTGCACTGGTCATTTTCAAACAAACTGCTGGCATAACAATCAGACTGGTAACAGCTGACTTGATGAGCAGAGCTGTAACTGTCACTCAAGGAACAAGGATTACTTCTCTGCGCTTTAATGGGACTGGAGAAATGTGGAGACTCCCCAAAATGAGTTCTCATTGATTTTGACTTGAGATCCTCACTAGAATCTATTAGACTTAGGTTCATCTGCGACTGTGTCATGAATGAAAATGGAGCGGAGTGCTCATCTCGCCATCGTAATGTCTAAAACAAGTTAAATACACATATCTAGCTGTAGTAATACCTAATATATATATCTAGCAGTAGTAATACCTCAATTAATTATAAGATTCTTTGATCAAGATCAAGTCAAATAAGAATAAGAACGTTAGACAATGACATTAATGATATTGTTGTACTCACAGAACCAGTTTCATCAATGACATACTTCATTCCAGTCTGTATACGTAGTTTTGGATACCATTCAGGTAACTCTTTGGTCAATTCTATCTTCTTCAGAGTGTATTTTAATGCTACCTCAGGTTGAATTATAGTCTCATTGATGGCTTGATTGCGCTCAGCTGTGCTCAGAGTATTCCATAAGCCTTCATAAGCCTCTTTTGTTGCAGTTATATCTTGGCCAATCCTTTGAGCCAGAGGATTTATATTATATAGGTACTGCTCCGCTTTTGTAGCAAGGGTGCTGGAGCCCATCCTGTTGGGCTGTGACACAAAAATTCACCATCGTTGAGATCGCACCATAAATATCGACACTGATCGTAAATGTAATTATCAGGTAAATATTAAATGCAAAGATGCACTTACTGAGCGTATGATAATGACATAAAGAGAAGTGAGAAGTGTTAGTCACATTGACGTTTACGATCATTGATCGCCACAACGTCACACGATCATCAGGGAAGGAGACATGTTTGACTCGAGTGTACACACGCGTAAACTATACACTAACGTTAGAAATTACGTTCATACAAACATAGTTACTGATTGCTCACAAATCAACGCATCAATTAAAGATAATCAACGGAAGATATAGCAGGTTGGACTAATAAATGGACGCTTGATACTTTCCCTGTTAAAGGGTCGATTATATTCTAGAGATGCTCAAATTAGATCAATGCATTTGATCAAATCTATTCGATCAATGCATTTAATCAAATCTATTCTTTTTTAGATAAACTAATGTATTAATATTAAGTATAAATGAAAGTAAATATATATTATATGTATTTGAATATATAACATAAGTATAATAAGCACAAGAATTAAACTTTATTTTATTTGATCACAAAAAAAAAGTAAAATTCAATGGACTGTAACTTTGGCAAAGTTAATGATAATAAGATAGCTCAGGAAGCATTTTGCAACTCAAAACCTCTAGTTTGTAAAGATATTATACAATATACAGTTAAATTATTTATTTTGTTACAAATTACATTACAAATATAAATTGTTAACATTACAAATATAAATTGAAATCTGTCGAACATCAAAATTTTTTATGAAGTTTATCAAGCTATACTAGATAAAAAAATTGCATGTAAATAAAGTTTATACGACTTAAAAATGTAAAACTTTCTTTTTCAGTTTACATTAATGTAGATTACGATTCGATTTATTTTCATTGAGTTATTTAAAGATGAAGCAAAAATGAATGTTCCTTAGATATATAATAAGGATAGAATGATGCTATAGCGCTAATAGCGCTAATAGCGAGCTCCCCGAACGCACCCTTATAGCATGTTCAACTGGCTCTGGGTTAACCCACTCTGGGTTATTCAGTCTACGTTTATTGGTCGAACAAGTACTCATAAGCTTTATGATTGGCTAATAGAAACTTATGACGTCATTAATCGCTCTCGGAGCGATTAACCCAGGACCAGTCGAACACGCTATTAGTAGAAAATGACTGCGTTCAGAAAATACAGCTGATCAGTAAGCGGTCAGTGATTATTAGTCCTTATTGTTAGATCCCTAACTTTAGACCAATTACGTTGACTAATTACTCAACCGTTGTGTCTCCTGAACGCAACCATTGACGACACAATTGGCTGCGTTCCGAAATTCACTGCCGGTACTGAAAATCTAGTTCATGTCACGTATACTATAGAATTTCAGCATTGGCAGTGAATTTATGGCTCCTGCACACAGGACGCGGTAATGCTTGTCGCGCGGCGGAAGTCCGCGCGACAGCTAATCAATATGTTGTTTTTCCACAAGAGCTAGAAGATTATTACGGAAAGCAGCATATTGATTGGCTGTCGCGCGAACTTCCGCCGCGCGGTAAGCATTACCGCGTCCTGTGTGCAGGAGCCATAATGCTTGCCGCACGGCGGAAATTCGTGCGACAGCCAATGGCTGCGTTCAGTAGAGAAAACTGGTTTGCAACTGTGTAAAATTTGTGAATCTGATTGATACATGCTCTTGGATTTAACCAAAATTAAGGGCATACACCAATCAAATTCACGAATTTTACAACAGTTGCAAAGCAGCTTTCTCTGCTGAACGCAACCAATCAATATGCTGCTTTCCGTAATAACCTTTTAGCTCTTACAGAAAAACAACATATTGATTGGCTGTCGCGCGGACTTCCGCCGCGTGACAAGCATTACCGCGTTCTATGTGCAGGAGCCATGACAGCTGTACTATTTGATACAGTACATTGGCTTGGTTTACATCGTGCACTTGATATGCGTACTAAATAGTTACTTTCTATTAGATAGTCTTAATATCGATAATGTATATCAACGGTGATGCATTCAATCATTACAATACGTTTTGTTGATGAGTATTATACTAGCTTAATATACCATTGTTTATATATATCGTCAATATTAAGATTATCTAATAGAAAGTTACTATTTAGTACACGTATCAAGTGTACGATGTAAACCAAGCCATTGGTCTGGTTTACATCGTCAAAACGTTAGTACGCGTATTTGATGCGCACCAATGTTTTAATACGGGTGCGTTTATATCGAACGTAAAGGAAAAATATAATACGAATTTAATTCATGCCAATTGCTTTCTAGTGGCGGTATTTGGAATTGCAATTTGCTTGAGTTCGACAATAGCTTTGTTCGACAGTCGGAATGCATAATTCAAAAAATGTTCCCGTTTCTTCTTCTCTCTAACTTATAACCCTTTTTACAAGACATTTTACTATAATATACTTTGAGAGAAACCAACGGTTACTGATAACACCGATTTTAATTTGGTTAGATTTCCTCTAACATTCATACGTTTACATCGTCATTTATATCATTTGATACGCGTATTAGTTTAGTACGATACTCCTACTTGGTACGCTTGTATAAAATTGATCTGTCAGTGTTTACATCGTGCGTATTAAATATTTAGTACGACTTTGATACGAATATAGTACCTGATACGCGTATCAAGTGCCCGATGTAAACTAGGCCATTGTTTCTCTCTGTAGTCGCCGTGCGCCTCAGGATCACGCCAGAGATGTCGCTTTCGAACGGCAAGATTTGTTAAGCAATTGGAAAGCACCTTATGCTTTTCACAAAAGTGTGTGCTTCCCGCTAGGCCTGGAACACAATACTTTCAGGAACAAACAAGGACAGAGCACACTGATAGCGCTAAATAGCGTCTTCTCGAACGCAGCCGGAGTTGAATGTCGGAACATAGTCAATGGTCCAATGAGGAAAACTCATTCTCGAAAAATAAATTCTCTCATTGGACCATCTGCTGCGATCCGATATCCAACTCCGACATGCGGCATATTGTGTTCCAGACCTTAAGGCTAATATTACATGCGTTGTACAAATATTGTCGGACGTATCGATTGGCTGTTGGATAAAATTCTCATAAGATCCCTGACTTTTCCTCCAGATACCTCAGAAATTCTCTATCCAACAGCCAATTAGAATGCTCGACAAGCTTGTCGTACGACACATGTAATATTAACCTAAAACGTGTCTGATTTACCTAGGATAAACCTAGGGTTTTTTGTTTATCTTGCGTAACTCAAGAAATTTTATGCAAAATGTTGACATATATTTGACGGATTTCGATTTTTATAACATCATAATAAATAAGTTAACTGTATATTGCATAATAAGATGTGGAAGTAGAGAGATCTTAAGCCGTAAAAAATCCCCCCTGAACCTGATCTCATTATCATTAATTTAGTTCAAGCTACAGTTCATTGAATTTTGTTTATTATACCTTTACGAAAAAGATACAAAAAAACCCTTAATTTGGTGTTAACGTTCAAATTTGGGTGTTTATCCCCAGTTTTTGGGTGTTTGCACCCAAAATTGAAGATTTTTTCGTATTTTTTTTTTGTAAGGATATTCATGATCAAAATAGATATTTAATTCTTGTTCAAAGAATATTTACATAATAAGAAAAAAAAATATTAAGTTAAAATATTTTATCATTTAAAATCTGACATATTTACATTGATCATCAAAATAAAATATGTGCATAAAATAATTGACCAAGTATTCATTTTTAAACCTGAGCTTTATTTTAGCCCTACCTTTATCTTGTTATTATAAAAGAATGAACTGTTTGTCTATATATTATCTTCTAAATTTAATAATAATCAATTAATTCTATTTAAACGTTACGATACAATCACCAATCGAGAGGTATAGGGAAACATCAATGAAACACTCAAATGAAAAAAGAGAGTAACATGTCTATATTATTTTTCTTTTAAATGGTGAAGATTATTCGAGAAATCAACTAAACTAAAATGTTCTATGATAAGATGCGAAACAAGAGACAAGATAACGTTTTGAACTGCTTTAACTCACTTTGTGTTCAACTACAACAAAACAAAAATTCTTCAAACATATACCTAGCCATTAAATAAAAGACGAACGATACAATGCCCAACTGTAACTTGTACGCCCGAGTTGCGACGGAAATATCATATATACGTTATTCTTTTTATTATTATACAAATATATACAACATTAATATCTCGTAATCAGTCGCACGCAACAATAGACCGTTCTCACGAAAATTCGTCAAAATAAATCACTTAAATCTTACACATCGCATATAATGAAATGGCGGTAATTATTTACACATAACAAGATATATACTAACAGGAATGATAATAAATAATAAATTGCATATGATATCGTGTGTATGTGAATTATATTCTTAAATATTGCCTATACTCTATCCGATATTTTTTTCTTTTATAAAGAAACCGTTTTAAGTATAAACGAATATGCAGAGTTCCAACTGTACAACTGAACCGGGTTGTATCTTCGAAAATTATTGGAGATAATATTGAAGGTAATATTGAAGAACAAGATTACCTGATCTTGCCTTTTATATTGTATCATTATAACACAGCACATACATAAAAACATAAAAATATATAGTGAGTATATAAAACAATTAAATTTTTTTTAATGTTTCTTTTATCTCCAATTATGCCCCAAACATACAGCTCGGTTTAATTACGTGGGATACCCTGTATATACTTTCAACCACATCCTCTTTATACACAGTGTATGTACAAAACGTAGTAACTGCGTCAAATAGAAAATAAAAACTTCTGTTTTTCCTTCTCTTTTTTGTTTCGTAGAAAGTCACGAGATGTTTCTTACAACTCTACCATCAATGCAATTTGTTTTGAAAATTTACCTTCATATTTTGGACTCTATATTTATGGATGTGTGCGTGTAAAATGTATATGTGTATATGTGTTTGTATGTGTATGTATGTATATATGTACTTGTAACAACAATTACATCATACCAATATAATCTTCCATGTAATATTTTGTATCTAGCAGATCGATTCTGCTAGATTAGGTACATCAGTGTAATTTATTAGCAATCGTACATTGCACGTGTATTAATAAAAAGTATCGCTCGACAGGCATCAACATAACTCTCACTGTTAAACAGTCGAATTTTTGTTTGATTTACTAGTATTTATTATCGATAACAATTAGATTTTTTCATTTTGCGTACAAAACATAAAAAAGTTATTTTATACACATAAGATATTTTTATATTATATTGAAAGTAATTTAAGTCAATATAACAATATATAACTGGACTCAATTGTACGTAATTAGAATTTCTTTTGTCATATATGTCTCGTAGGGAGATAAAGAGATAGTAAAACTATTATAACAATAAAAAATTTAGTTTTGTAATGCTCTTTTGTTGAACAGTTTACACGTGGAACATGAGAAAGTGTGGGAGAAATCCCTATTTAATATATTTATTAAAAAAGATATATACTGGCAACTGCGATGGATCGTGATACAAAATAATCTATTATTTCAAACTTTTCCTTTTTTTTCGTAGTATATGACATATATATATATATATTTATTTATTTATATTTATATTTCGTACTTGAACTGCGTAGATTGATTGTATGTTTCAGATCTTACATTTTATGAAAATTTGTAGTAAATGTTTGCCATAGGAGAAAAATATATGCGAAAGAAATACTGTATTGCTCTACATCTATAAATAAATTAACAATTTCTCTTTTAAATCTAAGTTTATCAATTTTTTTTTCTGCTTTCTATAACAGAATACTGAAAGAGAAACAATTTCGTAAAAATAAATCTGTTCACAAATATATAAACTTCATGTATTTGAAATGTGTCGTGTTTATGTGAATCTACTTACGCTATATCACGGTTGTTTTCCTCCAAAAATCAGGACAATTCGTGTCATGGTCAGTGGCAATACAGTAACGTGTAGGTCGAATTGAACGAGAATAATGACCGATGACAACGGGGAGTACGATTGCACGTGGAATAGGCCGGACGCAAATTCGTCCATAGTTACCTGTTTGATAAATGCTTAAGAGGACCGAGACTTAATATAGAGGTAGCACCAAGCGCACCCAAATTACAAGTGCTCGAATTTCTCGCACCGTCTATGGTGATGATCGGCAAGCCGAAGTAACCCCCAGTTTGGACACTCAATTGCGACAATGGTATGTAGCTTTGAATGCCCAGATTTGCCAAACGATTCAAGACATGCGGTGATTTCAAGTCTACAACCGGCAAAGCTAATTCAGCGCCTCCGTTTTGCGCTACGGTATCAACCTCTTTGTGATAAGTCTGTTTGTGCGTCGCCAATGCCTGAGCCGTGGGATATTGAGCAGGACAGAGATTACATCTTGAAGAGAAAAAAAAGACGATTAATAACAACCAAAACTTACACAATCCTCCTGTCTTGAAGGCTAAACGTGAGCGAGGAAGCGAACTCACTTGTGGAGGAGTTTGCTGGTCGTTCGATGATTCGCCATATGCTGGGTTAACATGTCTTGATTCTGAAAGTTCTTGTCGCACACTTGACACGTCAATAATGCTCTGGAAAACGCAAGTGACGTATACAATGAACTCGCTTACCGATCCCGACATCTCATGAGCGAGTAAATATAAAATTGAAAAAATGTTAAATATTGGATTATTCGATAAGTTCACAGGGATATTTACGAAAAGCTCATACCCACACAGAGATCAGGCACAAGTTAATTTTTTTAGATTATTTCGGTTACCAAAAAAAAAAAAAAACGATCAATAGATTACTGGGTAAAATTATGCCGAACTGTAAAAGTACAGGCCTTGAATCCTTCGCAAAAATCCCTCCGCAATTTATCGAACGTTTTCCTCACCTGGGTGGCCGACCACGTCTAACCACCGGCATCTGTGGCGGAGTGTCTTGCGTGAGATCAACGGTTGGCGGTCTCGGTGGTCGCTCCACTTCATTCATCGACGATTTGTTCTGTTTGTTTTGCGGCACGGCGAACTGGCCCTGATCCTGCTGCTTTCTTTGCGAACTAGTTGGTATGATAGAAATAGCAGAATTCAGATTGAGGGCTGTAACATTTAAAGGCTGCTGTGAAGGTGGTGGCCTCTGCTGCTGCTGTGGAGGTATCTGCTGTTTGTTTTGTTCGCTTGTCTTATTTTTATTTGCAGCTGGAGTAACTGTTATACCTCGAGCCGCGAGGACATTCGCCACTGCCTTGGCGTCGGATTTCTTTCCGCCGGGATTCGACGTGTTCTGGACTTGAGCTGGGGCGGAACCTTCAGATTAGTAAAAGAAAAAAACACAACGCACTTTATGTTTCTGTGTAATGCACCCCTTCTGCAAATAGTGATTTCTTAGACAGAACATACATGCGTACATACGAACGAGCAATGAAGTTAAAGAAAAAATCGAAATTGAATACAAAAATCATCAGAACTAAATTTCAATATTGCTAGCGTAACCAATCGTTAAACTTGTAAAAGCAGAACTCGCAGAACGCTGCTGGACACAAAATCATATAAACTGAATCACACAGAGAGAAGAGGTACTATAACAGAAAATAAAATATAATCATAACGTGTATTGAGTAACCAAGGAAAATTTTTAAATTCATGTCGGTTGTTTTACGTGAATAATTAAATATTAGATTAATGTAATAAAATTAATTATATAAATAAATAAAAGCAATTAAATAAAAAAAAAGGTTTGTCATGTTTGTCAGATAAAATAGAGAAAACGGCAATTTATTAAAAAATTAATAATTTTTACAAATAAAATGGACATATTGACTCAGTACTTTTTTTATAGATATCTCTCTAAAGAGAATTTTTTTATTTTCCTTTTAAACTTTAAAACTTCCTATGATAATTTAATATGAAAATGACGAATGTTTGCACTAACTTAATAGAATCTCATGAAGAAAATATAGGTGTCAACCAATGTTCTCCTAAACATTATAAACTTTAGTAATATTTAATGTTGTACGAATTTTCCTTGATTACCCGATATGTTGAACATTTAAAGCTGAAATATATTCAAATGCAAAAAAACTTACTCGGTTGTCGAACACTCAGAGTAATTGAATCTGTAAGATGTATCGTAGAGTCGTTTCTACTGGTTTGCTGGGGCGCAGCACCCTGAACATTTTGTATAACGGGCAGACCGTCGTTCCGCTTTTGTTGCGCTATGACATGACAATCCGCGTCCTCGTTTCTATCGGGTAACAGCACGTCCATACGCCTCTGCTTCACCGCGGGACCGCTGTTTTGCGGTTGGACCTGCATCGATTGCTGCATGGGTCTCTTCATACGCTGTCGAGGCACCGGACCAGCTTGCTGCGGCATCCGTGGTGCTCTGAAATATCAAATTCAATAAATCTGACTTTTACAGAAATATAACATTGACAAAGTTCTTTCTGAATTTTCAGACAAAGTTCACCTTTTACTTCGAGATAAGGAAATACAAATTTTATCAAAGAAAGATATGAAGGCTCTGAAAGTATAATTTCACGCTAAGTTATAAATGATCGCATCTAGCGATGGCTCTTACTAGTCCATCATTCTTACAAATTTTATAGATTATCATCAAAATTCAACCAAGATTTGATCATAACCATTTGTTATAGTCATTATTTAATCGTATAATACAGAATATCGATGTTACGCTTTTACCTGCTATTCTGGACAACGGACGGGTATCGTCCTCGTGGAAGCTGCTGAGATAATTGAGGATGCATCTGCGGTGGCGCGGCCATCTGTGGATATGGGCCCGGCCCATACTGAGGATACAAGTGTGCTATATGCGGCGCGTAATGCATACCCTGTGGGCCGGGTACTCTGTACAATGGTGGCCGTCCCGGCGGCTGCACGAAGTAATTGGGACCGGGTATCATCGTGTTCGCGCCCGGGGGAAGACTCGGAGGCATTTGCCCTGTCTGTGGAAGAGGCATGCGTTGCACTTGCTGGGCCAGTTGTTGCACCGGCGGCGGCAATTGCTCGAAGCTCACCGGCGGTATCATCTGTTGGCTCGCCACCGCTGCCGCCGCCGCCGCCGCGCTACTGTACGTCGGCGAGTTCGTCTGATGGGGCGACGTCAACGGTGAGTTCCTGCTCAACTGTTGCTGCTGCGAACTCGTAGTCGTCGTCGGCGGCGACGGCTCCATCGGCGGCGCGGTGTGATGAGGTGAGTGTGTGTTGAGCGGCGACGCTTGACTCAGATGCGGCGAGTTCTGATTCACGTGCGGCGAATTCGCGTTCAGATGCGGCGATAGCTGGCTCACGCCCGGCGAGAGTTGGGTGCTGTGCATCTGCGCTCGATGCATTGACACCTCCATCGGCGAGTGAAAGATCAGATTGGCGCATTCCGGAATGTTGCATTGATAGTGACCAGCTTTGCTGCGATGCTCGTCCAGATGCGTGATATCCTTGAACTTTTCGTTGCAGACGCGACATGTGTTGACGGTCTCCGCCAATTTTTCCAGAGATACATACTCTGTTTCAACAGGTGGCAAACTGTTCGACAGTGATACCTCGTTCGGGTTGCGTCTTTGATGTTCTATGAGGAAGTTCTGCAAAAGCGAACCGGCATTCTCTATGTTGGCCTCGCCGCTCTCCGTATGCTGCTGCTCGCCGCCATCTTTGGGATCCTCGTTGCTTTTGCTCGACAGATCGGCGGACAATTGGTTCCAATTGAAACTAGCCTGCGGTTCACCCGATTCCCTATTCTTATTCTCGTCACACACCGCAGCGCGTTCTGCCGCATGATTAGGATACGTGGAAGACTTTGGAATAATGCTGATAGAAGGATTCTCCTCGAGATTGTGTATCATACTGGATTCGTGACTCCTGTCATCCTCTTCCTCCACAGAAGAGTCGTCAATTAGTCGATTCGTTGACCTGGAGCTACAAAGGAAGCAGCAGTTATGTTTTCAATCATACTGAAGTCTCAAATGTTTTCCCATTTCGACAGCGTGTTTCAAGGAGACAATATAAGCATCTATCACATTAACCCTTGCAGAATAAACATGAATCACAATAAACAGTTGATACTTTGTTAGAACTTTATTGTGAGCAAAGCAATCTTTATGTACATAGTCTCATTTAACAGCAGATATATTCGTTTATTGTCATTCTTTATCAATATTTCTATCTTAAGCTGATCATACGAGAACACATGAAAACTAATTTTATCATACATTACTTTAGAATATTATGAAAGAAGAATATGTACACTGTCAACTTACCTTGACTGTTCACCAAGTTTCTTCAAGTTTTCAATAGTTTCTCTACAAGTCGCTTCCAAGGCATCCGACTCTTCGTGATCCTCAGATTCTGAAAGTCTCTTCTCAGAATTGTCGTAGTTATCAGCACCATGTATATCATCGACATTTTGATCTTCCTTCTCGGATGGATTTGCCATATCACTCCCTACACCGGAATCACCTTCGTTAACATCTAAGGACGGCCTATCATTCTCTTCTAGAAGATTGTGATCGTCGTTGAATTTAATGTTCCCATAATCGTCCTGCAAGCGAGAACCAGTTGGAGAAAATACAACCAAGCTGTGTCGGCACTCTGTGACGTACGCACGAAAACAAACACCTACTTGTTGGTCCACCATCACGTTTTCAAAAGGTTCGTCGAGTGAGCCCTCTGTTGCCCTGTCATCTCTATGATCATTCTCTGTTGCACCTGCCACCTCTTCTTCTTGACAATTACCGATATCCGGATAAAAGTTGCGATTCACTACGGTGAAGGCTTCAGAGTTCTTCTTGATCGTGAGCTTGACGCCCTGCTTCTTCAGAGTCAGCTTCAACGAGCCCTTCTTCTCCGGATCCAACCAGTACGTGTCGCTCTGTCTCCTCTTCACCACCTTCGGTCCTGTCACCCTTCTGAGGACGATGCAGGGTTTCCTCAGGTGAGAATTGATGTGAACGCGTAGCAACTTCTTGGAGGCGAATCGTTTGCCACAAATGCCGCAGTTCACCAGCGGTTGTTGACCGCTGAAACCGTCCGGCGACCTGGGAGTGCCCGTACGGTCGTCTGAAACAGAAGGCATGAGTGCCATCAACGATGCCGACGGGATTACATCTTGTCGCCGTTGTATCGCGCGCTTGCATTACACACGCGCACAGCGTTACGTGGTAGCGTGTAAAGTTTGTTTGGTGCGCAGAAGTTACATCGGTGCACGCGGAGGGGTAGGAGAGACGCCGAGAAGGGACGCACGAGGACACGCGGGAGAGAGAGAGAGAAAGAGAGAGAGAGAGAGGACAGGCAGAAAGAGGGAGGGAGACAGAAAGAGAGAGAGAGAGAGAGAGAGAGACAGAGAGGAGATGATGCAAATAACATATCGATGAAGGTAACTGACCGCCAACCGATCGCTCCGTGCACACACGCGGTACGTACGATCCTCCAAAACGATGTTGCACTGTGAGCCACTAACAATTTGCCGCGCTTTTCCTCGTCGCTGTCAAACCGCTCGCTCTCGCGGCAACGTTACTCGACTCGGCCGACTGACGTGTGCGTGCAGAGACGAATCATTGGTCGCGAGCGCGCGCGATTCGTCGCACACAGGAGAAGAAAGGAACGACCTCACGTTACATCTCAACAACGAGTGCAAACGAAGAAGAGTGTATATAAATGTATACAATACGTATATGATCATGAGTGTATATATATATATATATATATGAATGTATCTATATACATGTATATATAGACGTGAACGCAAAATACCTCGCTCTTTCGTTGGATTTTGAGCGGCGTGAGTCCTAATTCAACGCCATTGAGCAAAATGGTCGCGCGGCGCGCGAGAATAACCGCTTCGAGCTTTGGCTGAGAATTGAAAATACGACCCTCTCGAATCGATACGAACGCGGCTAAAGCGTGCGTCGTATTGGCCGCTTCCGTATCGGCGCGAGTCTTCCGGCTCGCCGATTGGTCCAGCGACTATGCCGGAGCACCGCGACCGGGTGTCTCCTGCGTGCAATGCGGCGGTTCGTAAAAGCACAAAAAAAGTGTTGCTGGCTAGAGCTAATCCCTCAACATTGATTGACCTAACCCTAACCTAACGTAAGTTTGCCCATAACCTAACCTAGTTCAACCTTATCCGTAATGTTCATGTCTCTCTTGTTCTCTGTCTCTTTTTTAATCGAACGAATAAATTAGAGCTCATTAAAGAGATAGAAGAAATCAAGCAGAGATAACGAATTAATCGTGATTGAGATTGACGTTAATTAATAACCGTGAAGATAAAGTGATGATATCGCCTCTAGAGAGACATACAGACACTCATGCAAGAAATAAAGATGAGATGGTACTACGTGATGTGCATGAAGAGGACAGATATCCGTATTAACGAAGAATAATATATGTGTGAGTGTGTGGAAAGGATCCTATCAAACTTACCAGAGTTGTACAAGTGTCAGTTTGTTGGTTATATACGCGTAAACATAAAACACGAGTCGGTAGGTGGAATGAGTGCATAACACGGTATAGTAATGTTATTATTGCGAGTATGATTACGCGCACTTTGTCGCGCGCCGCGTGTTTACGAATTCCTAACCTGTAGACGACGCAACTTGCACCGGTCTCGGAGCGAAGTCTGTGTTTCAGTATGACTTTTTCATACGATTACTTAAGTCAATTACAATTAAATAACGATGATGAGTATAAGGTACAGACATAATAATAATAGTTAACGAAACTTACTGGTAGATACATTGAGAAATGATTCTGACAAAAATTAGCAGTTACAAATTTTCTTAGCTCTGTCTTTGTAATAGTAATAAAGATTTAAAAATCAAGCTTTACAACATAAAAATTTATCATAAAATTAGGATATCTTTATTACTAATTTGATCAAATATGATCTTTATGTATTATTTTAATGTTCTTGACTTTTATATTCATATTATAAATATCAGAATACTCTCCTTTTATTGAGATATAAGTGAGTATCTTTTCAATATATATCTCAAGATATTGAAGGTGTACTCAAATATAACTTGGAGAAACAAAGATATGATGTTTATATTTGGTATAACTGTTATCATCAGTTGTACAAACTTTGACTTGTACAAACAACACTAAGGGACAGATCTCTAAAACACTACAAAAAAGCATATCGATGATACTGCACTAAAGTTTTCACACATGGTTATATCCTTCTAGGATATAAAATGATATAACTTCATCTCTGTGAAAACTTCAATGACGATCTGTATACAATTGGATTGGAACTCATCATAAACTGTGTCAGAAGATTGATGGTTATAATTTATTAGATAATGTGTCTCTTACTTTATTTCTTTTTAAAAAAAAGATTAAAATAATTTGTAGTCTTTTTTTTCAATTGTTCAAGAATTTATGGAACATAATAGAATGTTCTATATATCATATTTTAGTGTAACATCTTTGTAGAACATTGATATGATATATCAATGTAAAAAGATATGACATAGAACATAAAACATAACTGCAAAAAAAAAAATTTTAAATTCATATTGGCTTGATTTACATAAATACACTTATTACACTTAATGGAAGTTGATATAATGCTGTGTATGATTATATAAATACATAATATGTATGGAAATTTTGCAACAAAACTTTTCCATAGCGCCTATACTTACAAATCTTATCTTGTATGGAAAATTTAAATTCTGCAAAATCGCGATCCAGTGGACTGTTCATTTCCGATCTGCGAACACAAACAAACAGCGCCATTGTCATTAAACTTAGGAAATTTTTTATTTTGTTGATGAATATCTAATCGCGCTTGCAAGCTTGATCCACGCACAAATTTATAAAAAAAAATATATATACATAATTATCTCGCGCTTATACGACTTGATCTTCATTCGTTTTTATCGTGCGTGCGCGCGCGCTATTACATACGTAAACATTTGTGCGTGTGCATGCATCATACTTACAGGCATTGTTATCAACAATGCTGATTGTCACAAGCTCATCAACATCGGCTTATCCTCGGTCGAACATCGAGCCTTAATCGGCATGACACAAGTATCGTGACCACCGTGTGACCGGTACCAGCGCGCACATTTCGTGTATCGCCGATTTTCACAGATTTCAACGCGACCCGGTGTCCCGCGCACCGGAAACGCGACTCCGGCGGGCGCGCTCTTTCGACAACTGCGGCGACGGCGAGGAAAGAAAGAGAGAGAGAGAGAGAGAGAGAGAGAGAGAGAGAGAGAGAGAGAGAAAAACAAACAGAACGCGCGAAAAAGCGGAGCACACGAAAGCAGGAGCCGGACTCTCGACGCGAAAGTGCGCGCGAGCGACCAACGTGCGAGAAACTCGAGCTGCTCGCCCCGTCGTTGGGACGTTTCGAATCGGTAAACGCGATGTTCAGCAGCGGTAGGTAAAGTCAATTAAACACGCCGCGCTAGTCTCGGATCCACTTGGCGCGCCTGGCGGCTTCGGCGGGAAGAGATGAGAGAACCGACCCTCCCTTCACCTCCGTTTGCCGTGAAACCGTCCCGCGCTCGACGATCCCTATCCTCACGCTGGCGCTCCGACGATCGACATAAAAGCGGACGGAGCTCGGCCACGTAATCGCGCCGGAAAGCGGCCGCGATGCTCCTTCGCCGTTCGTTCCTTCGCCGTCGTGTCGCGTCGTCGTCGGTTCCGCGCGCCCGAATACAAGTCTACCCTCCCTCTCCTCCTCACCCCTTCCCTCCCTTCACCTGTCCTACCGTCGTTCCGCACGGATCTACCGTGAGATTCTTTACATAGGATCGAACATGGCTGACGTGTATTACATGATCACTGCGCGCTGGTTGCCGCCGGTGTGTGTCTGTTGTGTGTTTGTCGCTTTGTCTGTCTGTCCGTCTGTTAATTGTACACTGTGTTTACAATATTCGTTGTTCGCGCTTGAACGAGCAACGATGTTCGAACGATGAGATGCGCAACAACGATCGGCGGTGGGGCCGCGGCTGCGATCCGTCGTCCTACTAGCCAGGTCCAGTCTGAACTTATATTAATACGTATGAGAGTATATCGAGCCACCAATATGGCGGGCGCGGCGGATACGCGCGCGCGCGGGCGTACGGGCGAACGAGCGAACGAGCGACAGGATATAATCAACTCAGTGTGAATTCGTGCCGAACTGTTGAGGCACGAGTTCAGCGGCGAGGTTCAGAGTGTTCAGATGCGTTGTTTTGTAAGGAGGCACGCGCGCGCGCACATTCTCGCTCGCTCGGAGCAGCGTGCGCCGTTCTCTGCCGCCGCGCTGCGAACGGCGGGATTATACCTCTCTTGCCCCCGCCGTATCAACGGCTTCCCTGTACTTCCTCGCACTGCTGACATCTCCTCTCATTCTCTTTCGCTCACTCTCCTACACCCTTCTCCGTTCCCAGCCCCTCGCTGCCTTTGTCCTCTCCCGCTATTCCCAAGTCATGTCGTCTCTTTCTTCGACGCGGCTGGCAGGTTTGCTCTCGCCGCGCGCGCTTGTTATTGTACTCTCTCTCTTTCTCTCTCTCACACACACATACACATACATACACATATATGTGACGTCCCCGCGAGCGGACGCCCTTTGCATGAAACCCAACAAGTACAAAAGTGACACGTCGAGCGCGGACAGTCGCGACAGGTGCGAGAGCGAGAGATGAAAGAGAAGAGAGGGTGGAGGTAGAAGGGTACGGAAAGGAGTAGTTGTGTGTGTGTGGAAGAGGAAACCCGAATTGAAATTAAGTCAACTTAATGTGTACTCGAGCGCGGGTGGGGAGCCAATGAGTGACAGCGGTTGCTCTCTCGTGACGCAGGCGCAGCAAGGAGTATCGCCAAACAACACACCGTGCCCTCCGATTCCTCCCTGCGCCTCGTCCGCGCTTTTCCTACCAACCATTCTGCCCTCCTTCCGCCTTCTCTCGTCGCCCTCTTCTACCAAGCTCCATCTCCTCACCCTTCCTTCAGCGCGCACACACCCGCTCTCCGCCGTCCCGCTGAACCCCTTCTGCGCATTCTTTCTCGCTTGCACTCTCGCTCTCCCTAATGCGCCGCGGCTTTCGACTGAATCCCTCATTCCGTGCAATTCCCCAGCGAAATCGTCAACGCCAGCTATCCAATTGCCACCTGTCATCCATTGTACTTAAAAGCTGCTGCATTGTCGTCGCGGACGATTTATATCCATAATTCTGCGACGGTTCTTCTGGTTCCGCAATCATTCAGACAGCGTCCGCTTGTCCTTTGACGCGCGCTTCATACCGTGTGACTGCCCTCACCATCGATCCGTAATGTCGTATACAAAAGTTAACTGGGCAATTTCCGGTCGGCTCAACGCTAATCGCAGGTTGTCGAGATGGACATTTCGCGCTAGTACAGTCAAACTTTCCGCCCGACAATCCCACCAAGTATCGACACAATGAGTATTTCTTCTCTCAACATTTCCAATTCAAAATTGATATATACGCGATGATACTGCATATGCATAGAATGCTATCGTAAATTTAAACATCTGTCCTCATCGCTATACGATATATGTGTTCGATTGACGTTATTAATATATGAATCTTGAAAAGAAGCAATCAACAAGCAATGTGTTATAATATAATAACATGCAATAACGCATTATGAATATGCGCGAGACCTTCGCGCTAGACGTCACACACACGCGCGCGCGCGCGTGTGTGTGTGTGTGCTGAAGAAAAGATCGTCTAGAATTCAAAGTTCCCCTTTATCAAAGTGACATTCAGTTTTATTGAATGCATATATGAAACATTCCATTTTTATGAGTTTACGCGAAGGATATAGGTGCATAATCGATTCATAGACTAGTGTTACGACCTTAAAACATAATTGTGACTGAATTGTAAACGTTGCCGAAGGTGAGCGAGCTTTCTAAAGCATACTTTTTCAAAGAAACCCTACGTAGAGTTATTCTAAGTGCACTTTGCATAACCGGTTTGTCCGACGAAGTTTACGTGAGCGAGGTGTGGCCGGTAATGGTTGGAGGTCGATGAGGACGAACATATAGTAGGGGAACTCAACGGAATATGTCGAAAATGGCCGAATCTGCCGTCTATTGATCGTAACGGACCCCCGGTCCCGAGAGATACTCAAACAGCATGTTGCCGGAATTCTATACTTAGCTCCCTGGGCGAAACGACTCTACTCGGTTCAGTAGACTCAAGGAGACCGGTGGGGAGCGGGAGAGACGAGTAGAATAGTCGACCCGAATTACATTTGTATGCAACGTCGCGACGATAGGGAAGAGATTAAGAGAGAGAGAGAGAGAGAGAGAGAGAGAGAGAGAGAGAGAGAGAGAG